TCAAAAGTGAATTGTCAAGCAGGTGGCTGCTCTAAACAGGGAAGGAAATAATTTACTACTTTATATAATAGACCATATAATAGATTTACAATGAGCATACTACAAACTGAATATTACGTATATTCGCTCGAATTACATTATTATTCGTTTGAATATAACATGAAGATTTTTCTAAAATTGTCCTTTTAAAAACATATTCTTCCAACACACATACCGTAATTCTTTTTTCTAAATATGTTGAGAAAATATGACACATATTCCTTAATTCTGTGTTTCTCGGCTCCTGGGCCATAATGCATTAATGTGTCATAAATGCGGGAGCATATTATGAAGTTCTGTCAGTCGTATTGAAATAGTAGTGAGGCTTAACATATTATACAATTCGAAGGAGTAAACCTTTGATTTCCAATGCGCATTTCATGTGGTTCAGAATTTGTCTATAAAAAAAATCTCACTGCATAATTTCCATAGAACAATAAAGTTTTTTATGATTTCAAAATGTTCTAAATTGTCAAGGTCCGCAGTGATATTTAGTTTATTAAGAAAGAATAAGCAACAAACGCTAAAAAATGGCACGAATATGAAAAGGGAATTAAACAATCAATGTAGTATATATGAGGTAGAGGTTTCATCACCGAATGCAAATAGGCAACCAAAATTGGCATAAAATGAAAGCCCGTAGTCACACTACAACGCTTTAAAAAGGGGCGTACCGGACCTGCGCGTCAGTTCGTAAGCAGCGTTAGTTCCGCATAAACCGAGATAACCGAATCGGAAAGCAGCAGACACCACTTTCACAAGGAAATACGCTGGAGGGCTGTCGGAATATTGTATGCTGGTGTAAGACAATCCGCAGATGCGAAAGAGATAAATGTCTACCGTAATGCCATCAACAGGCCGGGGAATCGTTACCAAAGAGATCAAAACTCTGTAGAAGACGTGTGTCTGTACGATACCACAAGAGATAGCTTCCTGTTGCTACGTGCAAGACGCCGTAGATCATTAAAATCACAACAGCTAGTGTCGCAGGTTTCTGCTGCTGCAAGACGGCCCATATCCCACAACATTGTCGTGTCGACTGCATGAAGATGGACTGTACGCCCGACAACCTATGATATGCGATAGAAACATTCCTTTGTTTCTATCGCATATCAGAGCGCGGCTGAAGTGCGCCAGTGAACATCGCAGTTGGACACTGGAGCGGGCCAAGTACTCTTTACGGATGAGTCTCGATTTAACATCTATAATGATTCCCGAAAGGTAATGATATTGCAGAGCCAGAGACGTGCTCGGAGCCAAACAAAATCGAAAAGACCGTTTCAGAGGAGGAGGCTTACTTGTATAAGCTGAGATTGTAACGAACGGCCGTATCAACCTCTGCGTCATTCTTGGTGACTCCGTTACAGCCGTCCGATGCTGCAACGAAACTGTACACCCTCCTGTGTGTCGTTTTATCGTTGCAATGGCTACTGAGGCGATACTAATGGACTATAACGTCCTCCCGCATAGAGCTAGAGTGATGCGAAGTTATCTGGATAGTGAAACCATTCCACATCTGCAATGGCCTATTAAATCATTATAAAGCATGTGTGGGACATGTTGGGACAACGGATAGCGGGTCGCAGTGTGCCGCTAGGCACCCTTCGTGACCTTCAACATGCCTTACTACAGGAATGGGCGCTACTGCCATAACAAACGATCACTATTGCCAGCTGCCTTCCCGTTTTCAAACATACATTTCAGCTAGCGGACACCATACTCGTAATTAGCGTGATGTTTCCATTGCACATTCTTTTCACCCCTTTCGCAATGTGATGGCCGTAATAAGTGTGTTTTGCGTATGTTTACTTCATTGTTTGCTGTGTAGTCTAGTATTGTTACACTAACCTGTTGATAACTTTCAAGCACATCCATTAAATAGTTTTTGTTTTATTCCGTGTTTTACCTTTCTTGCTTATTTTTTTAGTAAAATTGTAATTCCAGATGCAATAATATTGATTAATTAGTTTCCTTCTTCCATTTCAGAAAAATCGAGCAACTGAAAACCAGTCTATTCAAATTCAAAAGCAATGCTTGAAAAAGTTAACATTAAAACTGCTGCACAAACTTTAGTTATATAGTACAGGTAGTCATAGGTCGACGCTCATTTGGGTGACAATAGTTAGCTGCTGGTATAAATTGGTAGCTTTTTAGAGGCCAAGATTTTCGTACGGTACAGCTTAAGATATCCTCACAAGTGAAAACTAAGTAAAGGCCCATTTTGCTGTTAATTGTAAGCATTTTTCTTTTGTAGTGGGCCTAAATCATCCTGTTCGCCTAGGATGCCGAAAGTTTTGAACCAGACCTGATAATGATCATTCGTTATATCTACCATTCCACTGCAATAGCCGATATAACATACCCACGGATGATAAGAGTGTATTTAATATATTTTCGCTATAGTTCCCGTTTTTTATAACCTTTTTATCTATAGCCTGCTATTTTTTCCCTTGCAGATTATTCTAAAACGCATTTTCTGCAGTGAAATAAAAAGAAGAATGTGGGAGGATGCAACTTGCATATTTATGACGCAAATTGCTCCTGTTAAATATGGCCAAAAGGAGAATAAAACAACTGTTAAAACAGAAGCACAACGCGGAAACTTTAAAGTGGCCAAAAACAGCAATTATGGTGTCAGGCAAATTGAAAAATCTTATTTTCTCAGATGATACTTATAACATCCTAAACATAATGGTGGTAATAACTGATTTTAGAAGTGATGTATTCCGGAAACCTGAGGGATATTACCGCACGGAAGAACAGGTTAGAGTGTGCCGATATAAGTATGTGTTGGCAAATCTTACCCTGCCATAACATCATCGCATATATTGCACGATTACCTTGATTGATGCTTTTTCAGCTTTAATTCTGTTTCGGCCGAGTGAAGGATCTTTCAGTAAGATACTGAAACTAGCAAAACTGTAGATACAAAGAGACGAAATTGATATCCTGAATTTCCATCGATAAGCCTAAATTTTAATGATACTGAAAATGTCAATATAACATATTTGCAAAACCTATTTGTACTAATAGACATGTTCTTTCCTAAAGAAACTACAATTAGCGATTTTTATAATTGCTGGGATGAAAAAGGCATCAAATACATCCAAAAAATTTTTAAATAGCAAAATAAGCAGTATTTGCTCCTTATATTGAATACGCAAAATTAAGCATTAAATTAGAAAATATGATACTGTATGCATAATTATCTGCGTTTGTTTATATCATTTTTATACATATAATCGCACTGAAAATGTTATATATTTATTTTTATAATTTTACCAGATATCAACCTAATTATTCATATTGAAGAACATTAGATTTAATACCTGAAATGAAATCCCAAAAACTATTTATTTGTGCACCGTGGCATGCTAAAAAAGACGAATGCAGTATATTTTCAGATTGTATTAATAATTACCTTGTAAATCATGTATAAATTTCAAAAGCGGTGTTCAGAACGTGTTATATGAGCGCAGATATTCACTTCAAAGATCATGGTAGAATATTCAAGTTATTATTGTATGAAGTGTAATCAGGATAGCACCTAATACGTACTCCAAATCGAAGCTAATGGTACACAATGGATGCACATTAAGCGCAGTTGGCTGTATGGGAAACCTCCCAGGTCAATTTCCCCAGGTAGATACGAATATTGATAATATTCGTTCAGAACCAAACTGATCAGAATATACTCCAAATTATTCTCTTCGAATTTACATAATAGAAATTTAATTATACAGTATATAAATATCCTTGTCATGTTGTAGTCATTCATCAGGAGATGGAGTTGTTTCATCTTTTGAACAATTCTAAAGGTAGAAATATTCCGATAATGATATTTATACCTTAATAAAGCGTTATTAGTTACTTATCCTGTTGCTCGTGAGATGGGTATGATTTTCAAAAATTAATTATTCGGAAGAAAATATCATGTTGGCTGCTGCACACATTTTAAGAAAGCTTAATTTTTTAGTTATTTACGTGAAAATATTTGTAGCCAGTTCGTAATATTAGCTTAGATAATGTATTTTATTGAAAGATAGTATAATACTACTATATAAACGTCAATCATTTGTTTAAATATTTTTTCAATTCATTTATTTCTGTTACGGTCTATATGCAGTAATCTTAACTACTATGTATGCATCGAAGAAACTTCATTTAAATCAGTTGACTTGAATAATAAAAGGATCTTGTATGATGAAAAATGGAGGGAAACCTACATACACAAAAGTATTCTAATGACACTTAATACGAAAATAATAAATACGTTGAAGAATGTTTTAACGCTATAAATATAATCAAACTAATTAAAATTAAATAATATGAAAGTAAATTAAAATATGCAGAAATAATATTCTCTTAACTTGCTAAACTTATAAACATGTTATAAAGCATTTTCACCAATGATTTATTTTTTGAAACATGAAACATAATATGAGTTAATATTATATATAATTGAAGAGAGCTCAATAAAAGCTACTAATGCTCCAATTTAAAGAATTACGAATTTTTCTCAATACTGCGACAAGTTTCAGTTCAAATGCTAACTAAACTAATAATCAGTAAACTGCATACCATACCATGGGGCATTCACTAAACTGTGGCAACATAAAAAACTTTTACAGAAGCGTGTGTTCATTTTATTGTGTCTTATATTCAATAACTTTTATTATGATTTGTAGCCTTTTTTCTAGTCAACTATCACCTCTTATTTATCTCTAAATGATATGCATGGAATTTGCAATGAGTAATCCGTTGATATTTCTTTTGCATCCATTGGTTATTCTCACCGGCTCATTATTTCCACGCACGATTTTGCGTCAGAGCAGTACTCACTCCAAACATCGTAACGTTGACAAAGGCAACCCCAGCCCCGTCTGGAACACCCGCAAAAGAAATGCAAGAGGAAAAAGGGATTAGGAGATTAAATAAAAAAACACTCATAAAGTACTCACAGTAGGTTTCCTTGGCGAGTTTCGCAACCACTTCTCCTTTCAGCTTACTGTTGCCTTTGCCCATGTTTGTGAACAAGCACCACAAGTAATCGGCGATCGCCTGCCAAGATTTACATTCCTCTGCCTCTCGCTGCAGCGCTCAACTCTGCCTGCTCTCCAGCGACATCTGCCGGGTCTCCCCCATGACGAGGGGGGAATCAATAAATATGGGGAAAGTAGTTTTCGGTTTGGAAGAATAGCGGTTTGTCTGCTCTCTCTTCACCTGTCGTAATATCAGTTTGAGCAGACAGTGAGACAGCTAATTACTCAAAAGTTTTCGCCACTAAATTAAATCCATAGATTAATCCATAAAAGCGGAAGAATATATCTAATTATCAAGCTCATATAAAAGAAGGTTAGAATTTACAAATGTTATCTCCCTGTTAATACTTGAAATATTAAAGCAACATCAGTGCATGAAGTAGATTCTGCAAGGGACTTGTACTTAGGTCACACTTGTATTCTACTTGTAGTTCGCATAAAGCACTTACAGTTAAAGTACTTTCTGCAATCATTTTCTTAACTTTGAACTGTTTAAATAGTGCTCAGATTATTAAAATTGCAAGTTCAATAAATTTTTAATGTAATTTGCAGTTAGTAAATTAAACATCACATTGACTAAAATAAGATGATTTGTCTTCCATTAAAGTACCTTTTGAAAAACCGTATATGCCCTGCATATGATTTCAAAATGAAATTAAAGTATTAAAATAATTTATTATTTTAATACTTTAATTTCATTTTCATTCTATTTTAAAAGAAATATCTTCGTTTAGTTTTACATTGGTATATAGCACTTAATACGAATTATCTTCAGTAAATCAAGCTTAGACTTAAATCAGTTTTCTGTAAGCAAACTTTTCTCTTATTAAAAACCGCAGAATATTCCGGCCATACATATTTAAATAAATACAACTAAGGATAAGATTGTTTAAAATATAAATTTTGAATTTTACGAAATACGAATATTATGATCTTCAGTCAAATGTATAAAATCATTTTGGAAAAATAAACATTCTTTACTTAAATCCCAATATTTTTAAGAGTTGTTGTTGTGACTTATCTCACTTGTCTGATAGTAGTATCAGAAAAAGATCGCGAATTTTATCGTGACTAGGAGCGCAGGATTATGTCTGTCGTTAGCATAAGCCTTTGGCACACGGAGAATACCTATGATACATACCCAACGGTCTACCCTCGGCAGTCACCCATACCGACCAATGTGCCAGAGTTAGTACTGATAAAAAATATCCCGTATTACTAGCCTTTTTCTTTACTGATAAGACTCTAACTGCAGCTTTTCTGCTTTTTAGACTGTGGAGAGTAAACAGCTGAAGTGAAACTAGAGGAACAATACCAGAATTAAAATAAACACACCTTCATCCGGTAACGTATATTGTCTAAATTATCAAAGCTTCAGTTAGTTTCCTGTTTAATAAATCCCTTATTGTTCTGTCTACATATATTTTCAAAACAGCTAGAACTTCGAAAGAGCACGGCCTTTTCCTTTTAGTTTCTAATTTTAACACTTGTTAATTCAATGCTAATATTTTTAAAGCTTATTTTCGCTCCTTTTACTTACTTATAGAATACTTTATTGCAGAGTTTAATAATTTGCGTATTATTTCTAACGTCAAAATTGAAATCCTAAATGACAACATGTAAACTCTGGGATTCATTTTAAATAGTGATAAACTGTAGCTTTCAAGATTCTTCCTAATATTCATAAATTGTTCTTACCTTAATATTGATAGGTAAGCAGCCTTCCATTATTTATTTTGATCTTATCTTTTCATTGGCTAGTTTTACTAATTTGTTTTAAATGTTGTAGCATTTTATTCAGTAATTTACCTTATTTCATCCATTCAGAACGAATTTTATTCTATTGAACGTTTTATGTAGTTAATTTTAGATTATCATATACTCATTATTTTTCTTGAGTATTAGCGCGCCTTAGGAAACCCCACCCTGTTGTTTAACCAACTTTTGAGGTAGCGCAAAGTTAAACTTACATATTCTCCTCCTTGCTTGTGATAATTTTCATGCTTTATTATATCAACCCTTTTCTCCAGTTGGCATTTCATTTAGGATAAGATTTTCAGTCGTTCAAGTTTGACAACCGTTTAAGTTTCAGGTATGACAGAGGGTTATTTGACTGAGATAATTTTTCTTCAAATTTCTATTTAAATGATAATATAGATTTTTTATCCAAAAGCTTGCATTTTACTGAAGATCACAAAGAGTAGAGAATTTTAGAGATGATTCCACAAAAGTTAGATAACTGGGTATCGGTAGCAGGGTCGGGACGATGGTGAGGCAAGTCACTTTCCTCAATGAACAAATAGAAGGGGCGCCCAATTATCTATTCGATCAAAAGAATCTGCTTAAAGTAGATCTTATGATAAGATGGCAGATTATTTTCCAGAGAATGATTTTTTAAGAAATGTTCTAATGGGGAGGTGTAAGAACGCTTTTCTGAGAAGTGTTCTAATGGTTCTAATCCATCGCAACTGGCTTATTTATTCATAAAACTCTCTGTCGTCATTCTGTTTTCTATGCATTCTTTTTAATAACCGTAAGCTATATTATACTATTTCCAATCCAAAAAGAAGTTTCAAAGATTCGAAAAACTTAAATTTCCGATGGCGAAAATTCTATGCTTATCTTCAATGGAAATGCTTTGAAAAAAATTAAAGGAGGTTGTTTCATAGATGATTCCCTGCATAAAGCAGTAAAATCAGAAAAATAAAAGTAGCGACATACCTTACGCGTTATATTAGACATCATTTTGTTTTGTGCAAAACGCAGCTTACCTCTTAGAAGTACGCATGAAATTATTGCGAGTTCAACTACAGGAATGTTCCTAAATTTATTAGAATTAGTAAGTAAGAATTAGTAAGCAAATTTGAATTAGTAAGTCATTATGATAGAAATATTGCCTATCATATAGCTAATCACAGAAAGGGATTCGTTTTTTATCTGTCTAATCAAGTACAAGATGAACTTATATTACTCTTAGGTAATCATGTTCGATTTGAAATTCGTTCTAGAATCTAAAAGGTGAAATATTTTTCCTTTATATTTGATTATGCACCAGATGTTTCGCAACTGTGTCAGATTATTAGATACGTGTATATAAAAGATGAATCCATTGAAGCAAGTCATAGATTTTTATAGAAGCAAAAAAGAAATCGGGTAGTGGTTTGACAAATAAAATTATTTATAAATTAGAAAAGGATAGCCTCGACATGTTCAAGGACAAGATTATGATAACGGCGCCAATATGGCTGGATTGCACAAAGGCGTGCAAGCCATTATTTGTCAAAGAAATGATAGAGCTACATATATTCCTTTACATATATTAAATTTAGCATGCAAAAATGCCGGTTCAACAAATTCAAATATATTAATATTTTTTGGCACTGTACAGAAGGATTTATAATTTTTTTGTTTCTTCAACGAGTTGATGGGATGCACTTATGTCCGTTTTCAAAACAACATTAAAAGGTCGTACGCATACACGATGGTCATCAAGAGCAAATGCTGTTAAAGAATTAGATCTACAAATAACAGAAGTACATAGATTATTGACAGATATCGCATTAAATCATAAATCTTTTCAATGGGTTGAAACTAACAGCATTTTGAAGCAAACGAGTTTTAAATTTTTGTGTTTGTTATCTGCGTGAAATTTAAAACTGCAAGAAATCGAAAAAGAAAATAAAGTCTTGCAGTCAAAAACTATAACTTGAAAGTCGCATGCTTAATCGAGGGACTATGTCTTTCATTACAGGAAATGAGAGAAAATATTTCTCAGCGCATTTTAGAAAAATGTAAAACTTGCGCTTAAATATCCGAGTGATATGAACGCTGAAGAAATTCAGTCAGAAATATCTAGTTTTAAAAACCATGCTATTTCAATAATTCCTAACACAAAAGCAGCTACAAGATTAAAACTTTTAAAAATAATTCAAGAGCATAATTTAGTTCAGTCCTATCCGAATTTTGAAGCAGAGTTAAAAATGTTTTAACGTTGAAAGTTACTATACCTGGTGCTGAAAGACACTTTAACAAACTTAAAATAATAAAGAACTATATGACATCTTCTCTAGGCCAAGAAAAACTTTCAAACATGACCATTCTCTTTTGAGAACATGAGTTAAGTTATAAATTAGATTTTTGAAACAATTATTGATGATTTTGCTTCTTTAAAAGCAAGAAAAATTAAATTATAAATATGCTTGAAAAATTTATGCCACAAAATTTTGAGCAGATGTTTTATTTATAATACTACTTAATATTATCTGCCATTTCTCAAATAGCATATTTTTAATGTTTTTCATTTCAAAATTGTTAATCATTATACATGTTTTACTTTGGAATATACAAAAATATAATTAAATGTTACTGTAAGACTTTGTATTTTCGCTTGAAATAGTTACTGTTAATGCGCATAAAATATATATAAATATAGATAATTTTTTCTATATATATGATCTGTATATATATATGCAATAATTCATATCTATATTGCACGTGTTTGTGTAATGTTATGTTTCAAACATCATTTAGTATTATTTATTTATTCTCCCACACTCTCACACAAATACTCACACAATCTTGCATTGTATACAAGGGCGCACATTTACCGCTTTGCTTCAGGTGAAAAATTATGTAAGCACGGTTCTGATTGCAAGGGCAATTAGTTTCTATATAAATAATTCTGGAGAAGTCTGTATATATGTATTTATCTCTATGAGTACTTCGAATATTGCTTTAGCTATGAAAAATGTTAAGTTCCAACACTATCAATATATAACGAGTAACGCAAATTTCATCCCTCATGTAATTCATATTAATGCCTCACTACCTGATTTTTAGTACTTTGTCAAAGAAATATGTATTGCCGATAACTATCTTGTAAGTTTTATTAGGTTTTGGCTATCCTTCTTTACCATACCATCTCTGCAGGTTTTACTTAATATTTTAGTTAAACATTTTAGTAGACTTTCATTCCGGTTATCATTTATTTTTACTCTAGAATGGCTCTCCTACAAATTTTCATAGGCTTATTTTAAACTTTCAT